AATTGTTGCATGTCGTTGGCTCAATTCCATTACACTTAAATCAATATGATCCTTCGTAAAATGCTTAAAATTAAGTTACAATCGCAAAAAAAGAAAAAAGAAAAAGAAAAACTTACTTTATCTAATGCTGGACAAATCAAGCTACCAGAAGAAACATTGGAGGAATTCATAGAATCATCGCAATCGCTGTCAATTATGCAATGAGAATAATGAAAAGTTTCCAGAGTATCTAAAGAACTACAAATGCTTTTCGATTTATCCGATTCCTTTTGACAGGCATCGATCTGTTCTTCCTGCGGACCAAAATTAAATGGTCCAAGTATAAGAGGTCCCTTCAAACTATAATTTTTTGTCATACACGGACAAAGCGTCGCCACGCAATAATAAGAATTCTTCAATTCGACCGAATCATCACAGCACAATTTTTTTCGAAGATTCTTCGTAAGTTCTTCCCTCAATTTCAGATCTATTAATTTCACGAAATCGCTGATCTCCTCGTCTTTGTAACCTTTTCGCGTCTAATCAAAATATTAAATTGCATAAATTCAATTTTATTAATGATATACATTACAAGATTATTATGATATTATACTTTGATAAATCTATATTTATTGACTTTTTCTACATCCTTTAATTGGACGGATGCGTAAAGAGAGAAAATAGTTTGTTCATTATAATTTTGAATTAATGTAATTCTTCAATAACAATATAAAAAGAAAAATAATTGTTAGATCATTAGTTTGATGTCTACCTTCAGTTTGAACGTATCATTCTTTTCTATGCAAGGTACAGCGTTGTCAATGCCACATGGTCCACAAACTTTCGGTTTCAACATATCATTCTCTTCTATGCAAGGTACAACATTGTCAATGCCACATGGTCCACAAACTTTCGGTTTCAACAGATCATTCTCTTCTATGCAAGGTACAACGTTGTCAATGCCACATGGTCCACAAACTTTCGGTTTCAACAAATCATTCTCTTCTATGCAAGGTACAACGTTGTCAATGCCACATGGTCCACAAACTTTCGGTTTCAACAAATCATTCTCTTCTATGCAAGGTACAGCGTTGTCAATGCCACATGGTCCACAAACTTTCGGTTTCAACATATCATTCTCTTCTATGCAAGGTATAACGTTGTCTACGTCACATGATTCACAAACATTCGTTTTGAACGATCTACGACATTTCTCGAACTCTTTCCAAGCCGCAGAAAGAAAATCGTTTCTACAGAAATTCTTTATGAATTTAAATTCATTATGACTTGATGAAGATTCTTTGCACACATTTGAATTTTCCAATTTCTTTTCCTTCAAAAAATATTCGATTTCTTTAGCACGGGCGGCGCGTAAAGTCGAAGATATTATTTTCTCCGGGTCTTTACTTTTTCCAATATTGATCAAAGAGGATTTGATTATTTCTAAAAAATTCTGTTTACATTGTTCAATGTGTTTTATTATAGATGGTATGCGTACGCAAACGTCAGGATCATCCAATTCTAAATAATCGAACTTCGTACGTGAATCTTTTCTCGGACAAGTGTCTTCGTGATTCATTTTTATTTCGTTCGAAGAAAGATTTTTACAGACAACATTAATATTCTCATTTGTAGAATTCGACGAAGGTAAAGAAACGTTACATTTAATATATCGAATATCTTTACACGCTTTAATTTCCTTACCATTTTGACAAACGTCAGCTTCAGCCACATGATCCCTTATACATTCTTTGATTATCGTGGATTCAATCATTGGATTTTTACAATTCTTTCGAATCGATCGAACACATCGTTTTCCATTTGACGAGTCAGATACATCCAAATGAGGATCTCTTATACATTTTTTTATTCTTGTGCATTCAATCTTAGGTTTTTTACAATTTTTTACATTCGATCGAACACATTGTTTCCCTCTTGGACAGTCGTAACGCGTCAAAGACGATCGACAGGTCGATTCTTTGAAATATTTTCTATTGCAACATTTCGAATAATTTTTTTTCATTTTATCAGTGCTCACGTCTTCGCACCTGTGATTGTGACTACCACAAATGACGCGACCACAGCAATCACAATTACGTTTCACGTTAACGATCTTTTCCTTAATGCAAGCCAGATTCAAGTCATCCTCGTTTGTCCGAATCATATTGGTTTTTTTTTCTTCTTTTATTTCTTTATTCGTCGATAAAGCGATAAAACGAGAATAGAAAAAAAAATTATGAAAATGTTATCCTATTCAAATAAAAATAATTAAGTTTTATCTGGTACGTTGTACGTTACAGAAAATTTAGAAACTGACATGTCACAAATCGATATCGATTTCGCATATATTTGCAGTATTGCGAGTGTCGAGTGTCAGCTCTTTTTTTTATTTGCAAATATCTTCCGTATTTACAGTACATGTTATAATTATAAATAATACGATATGAGATCTTTAGAATTTTTTTTGAAGCTTTAATATTCGAGAGAACTTGACTGATGTTTGATCTTTTATATTTAAAATAAATTTTCCTTTATAATTAGTCTCGACATCATTAAGTAATCAAAATTTCTATGGTCATTGAATAATAAATAATGTAAAATGTACACAGATAAAATGCAATGTCACAATTGTGGAATGTTACACTTGAAAGATAATACTGATTTTCATAAGGAATATTAGATATTTTCTTTTTTGAGATAATACGAATATCATTTTATCCGTTCAATCCACGCCCAATTTAGATATATAAATAATTTATTTTCGGTTAACGAAATTCCTAATCTTATAAAAAGAACAGTAAATCCTAAAAAAAAAAAAAAAAAAAAAAAAACAAAAAACAAATCGATAAGGCAAAGCATATGCACAAGGATCCGATTCCAAATGATTCCAATCAAGGGAAATTATGATAATTCTAAAATAGATTTTAATTATAATAATTAACTTTTCACATTCTTAAATAAAAAAATTTACTATTATAATGATTTATTTTTTAATGTCAAAGATATTATATTTTTTTAATTTGTCCATCAATGTCAAAAATAGAAATCAATTTTCTTAATGTCATCCTCAAAATGTCATTTCTATGTCATTTTTATATCATTCTACCGTCATTCTATTAGAATTATAAATGTATTTTATTACATACGTATGTAACGTTATTACACAAAAATGTAAATGTAATTTAAAATGAAGACAGAAATTCATTCACGCATTCAAATATTATAACCACGTGCCGACTTTATCAAAGGTCACAGAATGCTTTGTCATCAATCAAATATAGAAATCATTAATACAAACTGATACTGTAAATATTTAATATTCATCATCATGCCTAATTTAATTAATATAATTTTTCTCCTACGCCAATTTTATCATGTATTAGAAAAAAAGGAATACTAGAATACTGAATCGAATTATGGTATTGAATCATAAAAAAAAAAAAAATATAACATGTAATTAACAATATGATATTAAAATGGGCATGAAAAAATTACGTTTTATTTAGAAAAAAATTTATTGCATATCCACACAATTTCATAATCTTTTGAATTTCTAGTTTCGATATCTTTCTTCATAAATAATAAAATGAATCACAAATTAAACTAATATCAGTCGTCACATCTTTGTTCTCTTTTTAATATTAATAGGATATACATATGTATGTCTAATTTCACGCATCAACTATATTATACTTGTACATGCGATAAAATTGTTTTTCCTCTTTTAAAATATTACGTTGCTTATTTAATATACTATGATAGTATTTAGCTCTATAAAATCGTCCTATATTTAGTTCTATAAAATTATTATAAAATAATAATTACATATAGATCGTTCGTATCATTAGAAATTATTAGATAGCTGGGAAATCATTAATACAAAGATACTATACTTCTTTCTTGAGTTTGTCGTTATTTTGTTTGCCTTATTAGAATTTGCCTTATCAAAGTCTTTTACGAAAAAAGATTTGATAAGTAATCCACTTGTGCTTAAGTTATTCAATAGATACGTCATTTGTTTAACTCAATCGTACGTAGTACAAATATTTCAAAAATTACCCGAATTCAAAATTTTAAGATCCTTCCATATTCATAAGATCTCGAACCTACGTACTCACACTTGTTTAAACATATCAACCACATTTTAGTCAAGGTGTAAAAAAAAAAAAAAAGAAAAAAAAAATTAAGGAAATAACAATCAACGATATGAATTTATCAATACCAGGAAGTTGAATATATATGTAAATGTTATAAATTCTCTTGTATCACGTTGACAAAAATGTATTTTATCTAATAATATTTAATTCTATTAAATAAATTCATTTTTAAACAAGTTTATATCGTTGTATAAAGTTTTACTTAAAAATTCGCCACGTCGCATGTAACAACTTAATACCTAAAAAGTGTCACCTTGAACAAAAAATAAAACAGCAGAGTAAATATGAAAAAGACTTATCGTCCAAAAAAAAAAAAAAAAAAAAAAAAAAAAATTAAACGAACTATGTCGAATTTATAAGCAAACAGGCCGACATCATACTGTATACCTTCTTCAATAGCAATTATACATTATACGCTTCCGAAAATTATAAAAAATTATCATTAAATATATTGATATGAAAAAGATACAAATTTTGCGAGTGTCCTTTGATTATTTGCAATTAGATCATCGCTATAAAACAAAAAAAAAATGCACTTTGTATGTAGCTACAGTTGGTAATACATATGTAGTATTAATTGTTATGTATAAAGTAAAATTTTATTGTTAGATAAAAAAATATTCTTTAATTATATTCATCGCGCCAAGTGAGCAAACAAAATTCTTTAAAATCAGCACAGGAAAAGTCCGGACATGTGTTAGCACACGTATATTCACGAATTGCGTTTATAAAAGTAATATAAATCGGAACGCTACGCGCAGGCGTTATGCCTTATCAACATTAAGCAAGCATTGCCTTATCAAATTATCGAAAATACTTCATTAAGAAAAAAAAAAAATCTTCAACGTCAGACTCATTCTGTAAGTCAGAAAGTGCAAAACTCAATAGACCGACACAGAAGATTCAAGTTTTCGTAAAAAAATCGCAAAAAATTTAAGTTCTCGTACAAAAGTATTTTTTTTATAAAGAAACTAACGATAAATTTAATAGTTCGATAATAACGAAACCAACCACAGCCATTTGATCGGTGTCCTGCGTCTAATGGTAATTTAAAAGTTATTATTTTTTTTTTTTCTTTTTGTTCTTTTTTGTGATAGAGTGAATTAAGACACAATGTTCCTTAATAAAATTTTTCGATATCTTAAACAAGAAAAGATTGAAACACTTATAATACATCTGGAAACAAATATCATATTCTATCAATATTGAATTTTTCCATTTTAAATAATAATAAATCCTTTTAATATTACTTTTTTTTAGAAAATAGGGTGCAACAATATCTAAGCGATCATCACACATCTCAATATGGCGGGAATATTTGAAATATTAAGCGGTCTCGCTACAATTATTCTTCTTCTTTATTATTATCTGACGAGGACATTCAATTATTGGAAGGTTCGCGGTGTAAAAGGACCTCAACCTATTCCCATATTCGGCAATATTAAAGATATAATATTTCAAAAAAAAATTTTGGCTACATATTTGGAAGAACTTTGTCTATCGTACAAGAATGAACCGTATATCGGTATATTCATTAGAAATACACCAATACTTATTCTAAAAGATTCAACATTGATAAAAGATGTCTTGATCAAGGACTTTACCAGTTTCTCTGACCGACACACGACCGTGACCAAAAAGGTAACATAATTTTCTTATTTCATAATTATAAAGTAACGTAAATAATATCGTCTCTCGTAAGTTTAATAATTTTTTTTTTTAACTTTTATTATCAATTATAAAATTTTTTTCCTCGTTCCTTCAGGTAGAACCATTGTCGCAACATCTTTTCCATCTCGAAGTAGCAAAATGGAGACCATTAAGGAATAAACTCTCACCTGCTTTTACTTCTGGTAAACTAAAGGAAATGTTTCCATTGATAATGGAATGCTCCCATCATTTGGAACAATATATAAACAATATGCCTGACAATAATATCGTAGAGGTTTATGAATTAATGGGTAAATTCAATACCGACGTCATAGGTAATTGTGCATTCGGCATCGAAATGAATGCGATCGCCGACGATAAAAGTGAATTTCGTAGAATGGGTAAAGAAATATTCCAATCCAGTCTGAAAAGGGAAATAAGAGAGGTTTTGCGTACAAGTTTTCCAAAATTGTACAATCATCTTAGCTTTCTCTTCGATTATTCAAAACTTACTACCTTCTTTCTGAATATAGTTAAGGAAACGATGGATTATAGAAGGAAGAATAAATTTATTAGGCATGATTTCATAAATATACTGATGGAATTAAAAGAACAACCGAACAAGCTTGGCGAGGAAATTGGTAGGATATAAAAATATATATTTTTTATTCCTTTTTTTATTTTATTTTATTTTTTTTTTTCTTAATTTTTCTTTTTTTTTTTTTTTGTTTAATTCATCCAAAATTTCGATTTATTTTATTCAAAAGTTTTAAGAAATATATTAGGATATTCTATATAACTGTACGATATATTTAATATTTTAGAACTAACGGACTCGCTTTGTGCCGCTCAAGCTTATTTATTTTTCGGTGCTGGTTTTGAATCCTCTTCGTGGACTATGAGTAATATTCTTTACGAATTAGCACAACACCATGATATACAAGACAAACTTCGTGAAGAGATTAAAACAGAATATGAGAGAAATAATGGTACATTAATATTCGAATCGATAAAAAGGATGAAATATTTGCATGCGGTATTCCAAGGTACGTATAGACAAAATTTAATTCATTGTTCATAGAGAATTAAGTTTAATGTATGATCAATAATAATTAAATTAATGGCTCATGATGAAAAGAAAAAAAAGTTTTTGAAATTTCTAAAAAATTGAAATAAATTGAACAATGAACGTATATATCAATTATGTATTTATAATTGATATATGAATTTTATATCGTATCGATTTTATGCGAATCCTCTAATAAAATGAACTTTTATCATTAACAAACATTATACATGTACATTATAAAAGTTTTTACCAAAGAGACATTAACGAAATATCTATTTGGTTATATCTATTTTGTGTTTACTTTTTCTTAAAACTTTTAATAAACATCGTTTATGTTTTTTTATTGTTTTTTTTTTCTTTTTTCTCAGAAACATTAAGGAAACATCCACCGGTATGGAATCTATTCAGAAAATGTACAGCATCCTCTTACACATTCCATGGCACTGAACTTACTATACCTAAGAATCAAACAATCTTTATACCAATATTAGGAATCCATCACGATCCAAGCAATTATCCAAATCCAGAAGTTTTCGATCCAACACGATTTACTAAGGAAGACAATACAATAAATAGTACAACGTATATACCTTTTGGTAGAGGACCTCGTAGCTGTATGGGTAAGAAAACTTCAATTATTGTCAATATCTAATCGATTTAATTATACGCATAATACAATCTTTTTATTATTATTTAGGCGAAAGATTTGCAGATTATCAATCGAAAGTCGGACTGGCATCATTTTTACGAAATTATAAAGTAGACGTGTCCGAAAAAACGGAAATTCCATATGGAATAAGACAATCATCATTTTTGTTACATCCAACAAAAGGAATATATTTAAAAGTCAGTAAAATTAATGAAAAATAATGAAATTTACTTGTAATAAAATTTATTGAAAAGTTATATCGTTTATTAGTTATGTACTTTTTATAATCTGTAAGTTAAATTAAATAAATAGAAATCCTAATCGGCGAACAATACTAATTCGCGATTTTATTTTATTCTATTTTATTTTTAAAATAACCCATTGCGGTTGCAAAACGATTAAACTATTTCGGACAAACAATGATGACACTAAAATCACATTGGATGCAATCAACTACTGAAAATCTATTGAATAAAAATGATTAAAACAAATTGTACCATTTATTTCTACAATTTATATTATATTAAAAATAATTTTATTCAATTAACATGATTTCAAATTATAAACTTATATTACGCATCTTCTCTGTATATTTTAATAATAAAAAAAATAAAGAAAATATTCGAAAAGATGTAATAGCAATAATAAGCTATATTAAAATAAATGAATAAAATTAATACTAAACAAGAATTAATAACATTGTAATAATAATATTTATGTTGTTAATCAAATTAAACATATCTTAAAATTTTACATGTCAAAACATTTAATTAAAATTTCTTCATGATGAACTTATTTATATAAATTTGTACAAGAATAGCAGAAAGCAACAAAAAGCACCAGAAATATATATATATATATATATATATATATATATATATATATATATCATGAGACTGTAAATAATAATATTTAATATTTTGTATTTGTCTTTAGAAATGCATACATACATATATATTTTGAATAGCAGCTATTTTGGAAGAAAATTACAAAGAACTGATGTTAATCAATCCAAAGATGATCACCTGTAACAAAAAGAAAATATATTAATCATACAATCAATATATAAAAGCATGAAATATATATATAACACGTCCATTTGTTATCCCAATATGTATAGATGCACTTTTCAATTTAATTCCCTATCCATTTTTTATTAATCCCTACGTCACGTTACAATAAGATTAAATGTAATATAATATTTAATCGACAATTGAAAAATTTTTAATTTTACATTACTATTATAAAAAAATATAAAATATATTTTTAATAACGTATTTTTATATCGCGTTCTTTACACTGAAATTCCAAATAACATTCGATCAAAATTAAAAGTTGCAAAGGTATAAAAAAACAAAAAAAAAGAGAAAGAAACAAAGAGAAATTACTGTAATATTAATGATCGTTTTAATTGAACAATAAAATCTAATAATATGCAAATCTAAGTATTCTTGACTCTAACTAATTAAGAACTTGTGCATCTGTTGGACGATTCAGGTATGAACTTTACGTACCAAGAAGATGAAATGATCCATCATCTCCAATTATAACTATCACTACTGACGAGCAAAGTGACAACGTGGTAAAACAAAAAAAAAACAAAAAATAGTAAAATATGATAAGACCACGAGCCATTATTTCAGAAAAAAACATATATTATGATCTTCTAAAAAGATGACTCGTAATCGATAGTTGCCCTCTTGAGCCACTATTTGTGGGGGCCTCTTCGACATATAGTCTCTTCTTTGCTTCGTGCCCTAACCACTGCTTTATGGCATTCCCTAAGTGCAATATACGAAAAAAAAAAAAAAAAGAAAAATTAAAAATAAAAACTTATTATATATTTCACGAACTATCCTAGTCTGTGGACGATCAATGGATCAAAATTATTCACCAATCGTACGCATTTACACAGACACATTTACTCGAATGCCCAAGCAGATATTTAATCTAATCGATGAACCTACTTTTACTAACACTTCGCATATAAAGAATTAATAAGTATCGAACAAAACAAAAAATATCTATGATACATCTTATGATCTTACTCTTTTATTTAACCATTCTTACTTCATATCTTTACTATTTTTACTTTACTATAAACATGTATAAAAAATATATTTGTGAAATCACGAAAGAGAATGCGAAGTATTAATATACTTAATACTAAGTATCCGACATATTAAAAAATCCTTGCTAATTCACGAAAGAAAAGAATTTCTAAAGAAATGCAAGAATTTTTAAATTGTTTGATACTGATATATTTTACGATAGAGAAAACATCAGCAAAATTTATACATATATATATATATATATATATATATATATATATAAAAGAAAAAGAAAAACAGACATTTTGAAAAATACAAAAATTTGCTGAAACTTTCCCCTAATATCCGGAGATGAAATTTTCCATTACTGAATGGAAATTACAATATGCATCTTATCCGGTTCTACCTGCTTAAAATTAAATACGCAATCACACCAGAAAGAGATATGCTATCTGCCTGCCTATAATCTAAATTTAAAAAATAACAAAGACATTCGTTCCAACACATACACTCCACGATTCTCTCACATACCGCCAGGGTGCAAAAACCTACACTAGAGAGCATACCCCGGGGCACCTCCGACACCCTAGCTCAAACGCGTATGATTTTTTTAATTGATAAGGGATACGTACCAATAGCTGTAATCGACTATCAAGGCTAATGATTATTGCGTAAATGACTAAAACAAAAAATACTAGTACATATTAGTATATATATATATATACATACTAATAATATACGAGTATTACCATATAATAATATCTGATAACTCAACTATGAAAAACGATATAAATAATAATGTATTACTATAATGGTATATCTGTTTGTATTTAAAATTTATCGCGAAACGATGTATAGTGCACCATCTAACACGTGCACACAGGTGCAAGATACAAAGTGCACAATCATTAATGCAATGATAGCCGCCAATAAGGGAGAACTTAAGACTAAACCCATATTAATTGTTTCTCACCCATACGAGTAACACCTGGGCACACGAATAGATGAGAACGCAGAAAAAAATGGGGGGGAGGTAAACGGGAATTAGTTTATTAGAAGCTGAAAATCCTGATCTAAAAATTGATTAACTTATTCTAGGGCCTACGGACTTATGAATCTACGAGTCTCTTTATTTTTTTCAATTATCAATGACTCTACTCGACTTAATTCTTTCAAAAGCAATGACTCTATTGAGACTTTTTTTTTATCAACAAAATTAATTGAATATTTAATTAAATTTTCATGCAATCAATAATCAAAATACCTCGGATGACTCCTATTAACAAGTGGCTATTCTAATTAAAATATAAAATCATAATCCACCACTTGTTTTTCAGAATTTATCCGACGCGCTTGCCTTCTTGCTCATTTTTTTTTTTTTTTTTTTATTATATCGATATCGATAGATCGAAATAAATCACAATTAAATATCTAAGTACGAAGCAATACATATACGAAGCATCACATGTTTCTTTATCGAAATCGGATAAATGAATGTCCGATTTCACCACTAATAACGCGATCAAAGGTGAATAAAAAAGAAGTGCTTATTTATTGCACCATTAATTAAAACTCGAACCGATGAAACAAGAAGACTCTATCTTGTGCTAATAAAAATAAGCATGCACAATAGATATGAACAATGAAAATACATAAACAATTAAAAATGTACCACTCGCGAGTAAATCCAAAAGAGGAATTACTTACGGTCATGCTCGTCAATAATTTATTTAAAAAATTACAACCAATAACTCGTGCCGATTTGGAATTTTCATCCTCGGCATGATTGAGCACTGGAGGGATTTAAAATTTGTTCACTCACTACTTGAGAAGTTCTGCGATGGCTCCAAAACACTCGTCCGTGATGTAAGTCAACATTGAAGAAGGATGATCCATAGGAAATTGAAAATTATGTGGCTTGATATCGAAGTAGGTTGAAAATGGGATCAATGTCGTTGTAGACACAATCATCATAATGGTGATCTGTTAAAAGACAATAAACAAATTTTTATTAAATTTATCTTAATAAAAAAATTGTGAATTTATTAACTATAATATCTACGAATATTACTTACCAATATTCTTCTATGAAAGAAAAGCATTATATTCCTCGATAATCTTCAATGATGCACTGATTCTAATACGCGAACAGTATGTGTGACTGTTTAAAAAGTAAAACAATACTTTATACGAACAAATCCTAAATCTATGACCAATTGCATTGCTCGCAATCAGTTTAATTATATACTTTTCTAAAATCGAAGTCGCGTAACGCGGATGTATTTAAATCAGCGAACGAACGATGCTTCTAATTCGCGATTTTGATTTTATTTAAACGATACAACGGCTCCATCAATTGTGCCACGCTCACGATTGCGATAACGATCTAAAAAAAAAAAAAAAAAGAAAAGTAAGACAATCAAAGTTATTAGTATAATTTTTATAATGAAAAAATCTTTTCAATTATTAAGAAAATGTTTAAAAAAGTAATTTACTTACTGCAGTATTTGTTGATCTATTGCACGATGAGCATCCTGCCCCAAGAAGATGATGAATGATTCTTCTTTAATTCGAACTGAAAAAGAGGAAAAGTAAAATTATCATTGCTATAAAAAAAAAAAAAAAAATCTTTAAAGTTATTAAAGAAACATTAAAAAAAGAAATTTACTTACTCAAACCCTTCACGAATTTATATTAAATCTAATTTCTTTTAAGCGGCTTATTTAAATATAAAAAAAAAAAGTAAATAAATAAATAGCAACAATACGAGCAAACATTATTAATAATTTATAAAATCTGAAAAGCTGAAACATACAAAAGATTATAAAATAAAAAAGAATAAAATATTTTCTATAAATCATCTTTGAAAATAATACATTAGAGAATATATTATCTGAAAGTATTAATCATAATGAATATTTTATTACTTTAATTTTTTATTTAATTATGAAACGATCAATTATCAAACGATCAACAGCTAAGTATTTTTGAAATGTATCAAATTATACTCGACAATATTTTCTTTAAATTTAAAAATACAAACTCAAGCAATATCTCATGTCTCACCATAAGAAGGTAAGCTGCATACGGGGAATTGTTTTAATAAAAAAATTTAATAAATTTTCTAAGATAAAATAACGACATAATGATTACTAAACTAAAAAATATATATGTAAATTCCTATATCATCCTACGTAATAATAAACTTTCTATAATATTAAATTAATCGTGATAAAGTTAGAATAAAAATCCTCGATAATGAAATACGTAACTAAACCAAAATCAATTTACGTATTTCATAGGTCTTTACTCGTCGAAGTACTGTATAGAAATGAAGATCTCTTTTGTATCCTTGAGAGAGTCGAACGACCGAATGTTTTTGTTTTACTCTCGGTCGGAGAATTTCCTGGAAATATACAACCTACTGTGTATCACCTTGCCAAATATTATCTATCTCTCTTTATCTATCTCTCGCACTACTACTACTATTTAAAAAAAGACAAACTTACTTGTACTCGCGTCCAAAGAAAAGGTCGTGTATAAATCTATCGTATTTGATGCCGTATTATTCTCGCTCATTGAATTCTCGGAAATCTGAAAAGAATACGATCATATTAAATAGGATCAGTTTAAAAGTGTGATGTGTGTGTGTGTGTGTGTCTGTATGTATGCACGGAGTGACCATAGATGTGTATATATGATGTGTACATATATATATATATACATATATGATGAGTATATATGAAAATTGAATATAATGCAAAGTATCAATCGATCGCAATTATACAAAGTTATTGATAAGAACGTAGATTAAAAGCAAGAGAAGTATAAATGTTATAAAAATAAAGTTAGAAAGTCCAAAAAAAAATTATGACGCAATTGTTCTCTAGGGTGATCTACAAGAAGGCCAATTTTGATTTTCGCAAATATCTTTCGAACGTGACAACGTAATGACTTACGAACACGGCCTCTTAAAAATCGTGCTTTCATCTATCAATTGATATATTAAATAAGGTGTAACTTAGAAAAAAATATGCTAATTACCTGTAACGATGAGGAGCGACGAAATACCGTGTACATTTGTAACCGTATCCAAAATGGCGAGAAGACCACCAGCAAAGAAGGCAACTGGACCCCGTAGTTCAAGTACATCGCTAATCAAATCAAATATTAATTATCTCAATTAAAAATAATTAAAAATATAATAAAAATATGTAAGTAATATAATATGAATGACAAATCTAATTAATTGAAATTTTAAATATAGACAATAATTTTCTAATGAAACGATTATATTTTCTAGAGATATAGAAATATTTAACAGACACACATTTGAATCGCGTATGCGTAGATGATCTCTACGTTTTATTTATTACGTGCAAAATAATGGGCGATTGTTAAAACGAAATAATTCGATATAAATGTTGTAACGTATAATATACATACACACACATATACAGTAGTACATATATATATATATATATTGTAAGCATTGAGAAAAAAATAATCTTAGTAGTTTTATTTATACATATTTTAATTATTACGTCAGTTACAATCGAAATAATGTATCATGAAACGATAATAATTGTATATAATCGAGAATGTTCGACTATCGAAAAGAAAGAAACGAAAAAGAAACGATACATGTAAGTATGTACAGTACTAATACTAAAGTACAATACTAAAGTAAGTATATAAAGAACTAATACATTGAAATGTATATAAACGACGAGAATTAAATACAGGAGGGGAGGCACGAAACTATGACATATATTTTCGAACAATACTAACCTATATATAAACTTCGAGCATTAAATTGACATACTAACCTATATTATTTCGTAAGAAATATCCGACTCGAAATCGCATGAATGAAAAAAAAAAGAAAAAGGAAAGAAATAAATCTCTCTCAGATATTTTTGCACGAAAACAGTACAAAATATTTTTCAAATGCAAAATTTTTCAGATATTTTATAATAAGCAATTTGAAATTGAGAAAAAAAAAAAAGTAATATAAAGTTAGAGAAGAGAGATATAATTAAATAATCAAAATTATATACAAAGTGATAGAGAATAATTTCATATTATATTATATATTATATCAGAAATTTAATGAAGTATATTAATGAGTCTGTATTCTTAAAAAAATTTCATAATTTTATTGCATATTAATTTATAAGAATATAATTATGTTAACATGATGCTCATGAGTATTACGAATGTTGTTTTTCTATTTTGTTTTCTTCTTTTTTTTTCGAAAATATATTATTAAAAAAAAAAAAAAAAAAAAAAACAACATGACATAAGCACCAACTCTTGATTATTTCTTTAAATTCACTTCGTTACTTGTAAATATGTTTCTTGCTTTCGACAAAAGGAAATATTATCTTATCGTTATATTCGATATATTCGAGTCTCGATGCTATTTGATAGCCAAGGATAAGTAATAATTTTGCTACAGAGGATATTACTAAAGTTAAGTATGGAGTTCATTGTCTTTTATAGTAACCCATATGGTGTTTCACATTTCCAGGTTATTTCCTACGAATATTAGATAATATAATGATTATCGATCGATTTATACATATGTAGATACGCTTGGTCATTACATCCTAGAGTAGAATATATGATTTTTGAAAAGTACTTTCGTATGTATTCCTATTTTCACAGACAAGTATTAATTTAATATAAACGATTTAAACATTCTCAATGATTCAAATATACAAATCACTTATGATCATTAAGATTCTCGTAAGAATCCGAATAAATCGACAATAATAAACGTAAGAAAGAATGAGAGAGACTAAAGCGATAAGTATTAAAAGAATAAAGAGAAAAGATAAAATTTAAGAAATAATCATTATTGAGAAAGTATGATTCCGGTGATTATTAAAATGTTTCTATTGTTACGTTTGAATAAATCAATTCGTTCTTCTCTTGAAATTGTTCAATTACAATGACCTTGCATCTTTTAACGTCATAATGTAATTTTTTTTTTTAATCTACATTATCGAATGTACAATGATAAGCGATACTAGATATACAGATGTATGAATACTAGATACATAAGTTGTAGATATATTCTTATTAATAATATTTCGAATGGATTATAAATATTATCAAATCTGAAGATTCGTCGATCGTATAATAATTAATTTTATTATAAATATTTATGAATTCGTTGAAACATTTATGTTTCGGTTTTTATTTGTAACCTTCAAATGTCACTGATTAGTTTTCATGATAAATATCACTATTTTATTTACGGGCTGAGAAAATTTTGCTTACATATCAGTGAGTTATCGTAAGAAAAAAAAACGTACTATTATTATTCCTTATATAACTTATGATTTACGATAAATCGTCGCTGCGTCATTAGAATCTAATATAGATCTAATAATAATTATTGATATTATTAGTTATGTTTATATGATATTTTTCCATATTTTTCTCTATACGTTAATGAAATTGATATTTTAAATTATTTTTTAATCAATTCTGTTTAGTCCATTATCTATGACTTTCGATAATGATTTAATTAGTAAAATAAACAAATATGAAAGACCATAAATTATTTTTTAAGTTCTATTTTTAATAATAGTCCGTTTATACTTTTATTGCAAGCAATTATCGTTTCAAATTATACGATAATTTTAATTCACATATATGTATATATATATATATATATATATAATAATAGTAAAATTGAAGTAATAGTAAAATTGAAATTTGATGCATTTTGATATAACTTTTTCTTTTATTCTTTTTTTTTCTTTTTTTTTTTCTTTATGTACGTATAAAAGAAAGAACAAATAAACAACAAAATAATATACTTTTACAACGCTTTTTCATACTTTGAATATTTTTTATGTTGTATGCTTCAAAATTCCTCAACAATTTCTTACGATAATATCTAAAGCAATACGAATTACTTTTTTCGATAAACGCCATGAATTATTTTTTAGGGATTTAATTGTTATCTTATACTTATTCTCTGTATTTGTCACACAATTATGACATTTTATTTAAAATTTATTTGTGTAGATACATTTTTTTGCATTCTAGAATATATTCATCGATAATTATGCTTGAAAGATTTTAGTTACGCCTGAAGAACTTTGAAAAAACTGTCTAATATTTTTTAGTTATGTTTTTTCTTTTTTTTTTATATTTTTCACCGTTCAACCAGAAAAAATACCTTTGAGCATAAATAATAAATAAGCATATATGCTAAAGTTGATATATATTTTTGCATATTTAATATAGTTTGTATTTTAACATTTAAAGAAAAAAAAAAATTAAAACAATTTATTTCTTATTTTTTCTTTCTCTCTCTCTCTCTCTCTCTCTTTCTCTCTCCCTCCCTCTCGATCTATTTAACAATAGAACACAAACGAATGTAAAATCATTCGGTAATCAGTGATCCAACGGTTTTCAAATAGAGAAGGAAATTTATGTGATTAAATTCCTCCTGTATATAGCAAGTAACATTGTAATCTGTGGTAAATAATATTTCAAATAATAAAATAATCCAGTTTCATTCACCTTTCATCACCTTTTCGTGATTCAATATTTACTATTAACAATCAGTTTGCTCTTTTCTTATTTTATATGGATAATTTTAAACATTTATTGGACTAACGTAACATTAAAAACGATTCGTATTTGAAATTATTTAATATTACAAATCGATCGCAATATATTTGATATTAGTTATGATATTAATTGTGAATTATGAAAATAATATTGTAAATTATTTCATAAAAAAATTATGAAATATTAACTAATGAAATTAAATAATGAAATATAATGATTGAGTTTCAAGTTGTATATTAAATAAATGAAATGTTAAAGATAATTATATACAGAGCTATAATACATTATTTATATAATTTTTATATAGATAATTTAATAACGCGAATATCAGGGTTATAATAAATGTGTATAGAATAAGAAAAATTGAGATTGATATTTACATGATTATCGCGACATATTTTTATCTCTTGTTATTTATAATACATTCGGATAGAAATATTATACTCCATTAATATTCAGTTTTATATCTTAAACGAAATAAATCCTCTTAATATAATTTGTCATATATAAAGATATTGAGCAATAACGTCGAAGTGATCGTCACGCATTGACGACAGCAACATGGAAGGAATATTTGAAATACTCTGCGGTCTCACTGTAATTATTATTCTTCTGTATTATTATCTGACCATGACGTTCGATTACTGGAAGGTTTGCGACGTAAAAGGCCCTCAACCGATTCCTTTATTCGGCAATATGAAGGATGTAATATTTCAAAAAATAAATATGACAGAATATCTCATGAATATTTATAATTCCTACAAGGACGAACGATACATCGGTATCTTCTTTAGAAGTAGACCGATACTCATCCTAAGAGATCCACAATTGATAAAGGACATCTTAATTAGAAACTTTTCCAATTTCCCTCAACGAGTCATAGACGTTACTGATAAAGTAAAATAATTTCCTTATTTTATAATTAATCTAATAATTGTAAATTAAGTGAAAAAATTAAAAAAAGAAAAAAAAACAATTGATTTAATAACGTAATATTCATTATTTTGTAATATACATTTTATTTTATTATTACAGGTAGAGCCATTGACGCAAAATCTCATATATCTCGAAGCACATAGATGGAGACCATTAAGGAATAAATTGACACCTGCGTTTTCTATCAATAAAATGAAGGAAATGTTTCCATTGATAATGACCTCCTCACTTCATTTTGAGGGATATATTAATAAGATACCTGACAACGATATCATTGATATTTATAAATTATTCAATAAATTCACTATAAATATAATTGGTAATTGTGTATTTGGAATTGAAATAGACGTGATTAAAAATGAAGAAAATGATTTTAGTAAAATTATTAAAGAAATATTCAAGGATAATTTAATGACACTGGTGAAATATCGTCTGCAATTGAATTTTCCGAAATTGTACAACGAACTCGGCTTTCTATTCCGAAATTCTCGTCAAATTTCTTTTTTTTTTTAAATATCGTTAATAAAACAATGAAATACAGAATAGAAAATAACATCGTTAGGAATGATTTCATAAATGTACTGATGGAATTGAAAAAAAAAAAAATCTGGAAAAGCTTGGTGAGAATATCGGTAAGATTTATAAATTAATTTTACATAAGGATCCAAACATTTATCCGAATCCAAATGTTTTTGATCCTACACGATTTATTACTGAAAATAATTTAATTAATGATGGAACGTATCTATCTTTTGATAGAGGACCTCGTAATTGTATTGATAAGAATATTAAAATTATCGTAAAAATAAAAACATTCATATTAAACGAATAATATAATTTTTGTTATTGCGTAGGAGAAAAATTTGCAGAGTATCAAGTTACTACAAAAATGTTACTAATAATTGGATTAGTAACATTTTTACGGAATCATAAAGTCGACATTTGTGAGAAAAGAAAAATTCCATATATGATCGGTAGATCGGATTTCTTGTTACAACCAAAGGAATAAATATATTTAAAAATCAGTAAAGTTATTGAAAAATAATGTAATTAACTCGTTATAAAATATATTCAAAAATTAATCCCATTATTGGCCGTATATTTTTATCAATTATAAACTAAATAAAATAAATATAAAAAAAATATAATATAATAAATATATATATAATATAATAAATATATATATAATATAATAAATATATATATATATATTTATGTAATGTAAATTATTCTACACGCTATAGGATAAAAGATTTCTATGTACGATATTGATTATAATAATTTATTAGGTCGATTTAAATGAAACAATTTTTTTGCAATTACGAAGATTTTGTTATCGTCGTTTCGATTGAATTTATCGATATTACATTGATCTAACAATTATTTTTATAAATTGTCTTCTGAAATTGAACTTTTTTACCTATAAAATATCAGCCAAAAATGTGCACAAAAATTTTTAATTTATTCCTGTACATTCGTTTTGAAATTTCAAACACAATGATTGCAAATTAATTTTCATATAAAATTTAAATTATTTATAATACTTTGGGTATAATAAAAAGAAAAAGAAAAATCACCTCTTAATTCCATGATTAATTAATCTCCATGATTCCATGACAACTCGTCTACGTTTCTGGAAAAAATTTTCCACTGACAAATCATTCCACTGACAATTCATTATTCCCGATAAATGGATTAAGGAAATATGTCTTAATAAATATCAATTTTTCTATTTATTTTCTAACAATAATTAGTCATTAACGTACCATAATCAGAAATAATATTACGAGTAACCTTGTCAAATGTCATTGAAAAAGAAAAATAATAATAATAGGCGTACCATTTGCTATGAATGTATAAAAACGAAATATAATGGAATTAATTAACATTCAATAGCTCCATTATGTAAAACTTATTCAATAATTGCTCATAGAACCTGCTTAAGCGGATCTAAACGATTTGTTTTTTCACTAGACAAAAAGTTCGAGATCGTATGGAAATAAGATTTGAATGGATCGATACGAAAACAAAAAAAACATGATGTATAACTACAACGCAAAAGATGATGAATTCGACATAATAAAATATGTTATGTTAATCATATAAAAACTTTTCACCTATAATTACAAGTAATAAAAATATTCTTTTTTTTCTTTTCTATTATCCGCTAGTTGCAAAACATTAGGATACAAATATTTCAGCGGATTGAAAAGAAGAAAAAAAAAAAAGGAAAAGGATGAAAAAAAAAAAAAAGAAAAAGAAAGAGAAAAAAAATAACAAAAAATCTTCGACGACATGTTATATATTTTTTTTCTTTAGAATTGCTTTTATAATTGCTTTTATAATTAGTTCTTTTATTTCCATTATAAATAAACATTCTTTTAACGTTATCGTGAATTATAAATATATCTTATATCGTATGCGAGATAATATAATTTGAAAAAACTAAAAACTAAATATATAATACGACTACGATGATCTTAATGAGATACACTTATGAGAGGGAACTTAAGTATTTGTACTATAAGAACATATTTCTATATTCACAATTTTATAAATAGATTCATTTTAAATATAAAAATAAAAATATACCGTTTTGTTTTTTATAATAACATTCGAGATATCTTACGTTGACCATTAAATTTGTCAATGTCATAAAAAATAACCATACTTTGCATTTATCGTAGAATTATCTAATCGTTTTACGAAACTCATTTAAAAAGAAAAAAAAAATCGTATGTTCTTTATTTCTAAAGTTTAATGCAAAAAACAGAATATATAAGGCTTCATTAATTTAAATGGATATTATGAAGATCTTTCTCGCTTGAACATGGATATAAATTATTTGAATTAATTCATAAAGGAAGGATTGATAGACGACAAGTAGAAGTTTTTCTTCTTTTTTTATTTTTTATCAGCAAATAAATTAAATGTTAATATTGAATACATAATGCAACGATAAGAAATGAAAGTTATAATGATCGTAAATGGAAATAACAAACCATTTAAGAAAGAAATCTTTCGACGAAATTTAGCAAATCTATTATGTTCAATGTTTTGAAATCTATCTCCATCTTATCAAAATTATTTGCACAGTTTGGTAATGCAAACTTCATCAAAATCGACTCGACAAGTATGTCAGTATATATTATTGCAAATATTCTTACCTATGTCCTTCTTTGCTTCTTCTTATTTGCAAATATTAAATTTAGATGTTAATCCGAAATAGCCATATGAGCTAACAAATATTTTTTACCTTTATAATTCAAATTAATTTTTTTCAACGCCTTCTCAAAAAGTTTTATTAAAATCCATCGATTCGTATATCTTCATCCTTTCGTTCATAGAAGAACATCTCATCATAAATTTTGATAAAAATAAAATTATTTATATCTGTCTGAAGTTCTGCAGAACATTTTGAACATTATGATATTTTCTAAATTTATGTATTTATTTTTATATTAATTATAACTAAACAAATTAGTCAGATAGAATAGAAAAAAATTTTACACACAATTTTTATATATATATTATTTTTATTTATTATAGGAAATGGCTGTCTTCAAATATCAGATTAATCATGTAAAATTATTCAAAATGTCGTCCAATTGATTAATCATTAATTATTAATTAATAGATTAAAATAAATCAAAATTAACGAATTCATTCCATCGAAACTTTATACTCAGCTTTTTTGAAATATAAAAATATTTTGCATTAAATTTCAAGCAAAATTAAATTGATCAATTATTTTCAAACCTACATTTATTTTAGTATTAATATATTAATGATGAAATAATTTTAAATATGATATATATAGATAATGTAGGTGTATGATATGATAATATCAATCTCGAAAAAAAATAAAAAAGCTAAGCCGAGATTTTTAGACGGACTTAAGTTTTTTTTTCTTTCTTCATTAATAAATTTCATAATATAATAATTCATAATAAATATTTTCTTAAATTCATAAATAAATATTTTCTCTTAAATTAGCTTCGATCACGTATATTATTATACTTACATATATATATATATATATATATATATATATATATTCTACGGTACAATGTCACTATTACACATACATGTTACTATTGCAATAAAGTGAATCAGTAATTGTTTCGGTAAACTAGTCGCTTGGCTCGATCTTATGAGAATTAAATTGCTCGAGATTTGATAGCCAACAATTTGAAGATATTTCCAATGATTCCGATAACACCTTCTGATCTCGACGTTTGCGATGTTCCACATAAATCTCGATTAACATAACGAATAAAGCAAAGGCAACGCCCATCAAAAGTGAAAATAAAGCTGGACTAAATTCCTTTAATGCAACAGGAGCGGGTATTGCACTGTGACTTTCTGGACATTGTGGTCGTGCAGGTTGCCAGATATATTTCAAATGTCCCGCCATACCATGTTCCATCATTTTTCTCAATCTGCAATGTATCAAATATCTTTACCAAATGCAATGTTTCAACGAAATCTTTTCCTTTTTCTCTTTCACGTTTTGTATTTCTTCCTTTCTCTTTTTTCTGGTTATTTTTCTTTTTTTTTTTTTTTTTTTTTTTTTTCTACAAATTCAACGAGTCGATACATCTTTTTTTCTTCTTTTCTTATTATTAAAAAAAAAAAAAAAAAGGAGCAACAATTAAAAAGAATAAATATCATATTGACTTTCTTATGATCTTTTAAAAAATTCAAAATAACATTATCATGATCAAGAGGAGTTAATATTATATATTAATGTTATATAAATAAATAAATAATATATAATACTGACCCATATGTTACCATTTTCTTAAAGGGCGAATGTTTCTTAACAGCAGTCGCTATCCGTTCGAGCGGAATTAATGGTATCTCTGTTAGATCGCATATCTCGTCTTGCAAAAATGTATCCTATTAACGAAATAAAATATAAAAACGTATCTAATAAATATATCATCGATTTCTTTTACAATCGTGGATCTCGCGTTTACATTAATTACCTCAATTATTTTGTATGCGGTCGCGGCATCAACCTGAAAGGCATAACCACCTTTTCTCACTTTTTTAAGACCTTCCTCTGCGGTCAGAAACGGCTTGATCTTTCGTTTTATACTAGATTGTATTTTTTTTCGATTGAGCTCATGCACAACAGGATTCGTCGATCTCTAATAGTACGAATTATAAAAAGGAAGAAAAATTTAATAAGATAAATCGTTAATGATGATATTAAGTTAAAGATAAAGTCGTGGGGTGAAAAAAAAAAAAAAGAAAAAAAGAAAAAACGTAAAATAGAATACTTACGGCCAAATAATCATAATTGTAAGCCATATCCTCGATTCCAACTTCAAGGCTACTGTCCGATAAATTTTTTAAAGTATTTATGAATCTTGGTGGTTCTGACAATAAAGAACCAACCACACTGGCAGAATAAAATTGAATAAGTAACAATCCCCAAAGAAATAAAGAAAGAAATACTATGCGTCCGGAATAAATACGTGGACCGTCGCTTAAACCTATGTAACGTAGATAAAATGAATGGAATTTTTTTTCTTCTTTTTTCTTTTTTTCTTTTTTTTTCTCCCCCTTTCAATAATAATCTTACGATCTCGACGATCTTAAAAATCGTATTGACAGT